GGAGAAGGAGTGCTCTCTGCCTTCAATCCGCTCAGCCATTCCCATCCGCTCAGCGGATTTCATCCAGGAACAAGGGGTGCTCTCTGCCTCTAAAGCGCTCAGCGGATCTCAAGCGCTCAGCCCTTGAGGTTTCTTCATGGTGAAGAACTCCCAATCCGCTCAGCCGTTTCAAGGCGCTGAGCGAATTCTTCTCTTTCCTGCCTACTCTGTTTTAATTCTAGCAATTATAAAAGGGCAGGGGAGAGAGAAAAGGGGAAAGTGAGACGAAAACAAAGAGAAAAACAAGAGCTGGGAGCACAGGAGGAAGAAAGAACAGAGTGGGAACGAAGATTTGGAGGCTGGATCACTTGGGAACGAGGATCAACTCCTTTTCTTCATCTCTTCCTTTGTAATTTCTTCTTCCACTCCTTTGATCTTGTAAATGGCCATGAGGGGCTAAATCTTTGAGGATTGGTCTAGATGTAACTACTAACTCTTCTTCTTCTTAAATATATATATGCATTTCATTTTCATTACTTGTGTTTGATTCTTCTCTTAATGCTTATATCGGCTTGATCACCCGTTGTATGATTTTTGGTTTTTGAATCCGGTTGGAAAACGTTTTTGAAAACCCGAACTGAATCTTGCACCTAAACATCTCTTGCTCTAGGAATAGACTTGATTTGTTTAGTCACCTTGTTCAAGTCATTGCTCTTAATGCAAAGTGTTAATCATAAAACATAGAGGAATCATGTTTTAGATTAATTACTTTAGGATTCAATTTTGAGGGATCTTGTTGAATTACTAAATGAACGTGGAAGTCATGAAGATGAAATCATATTTATTTTAAGGAAATTTAGGAGTTAGCAAGTGCTCTAGGGTCCAATCCTTGTTTTATATAATTGTTCTTATAACTTTTACATTACCGTTTTAATTTTGCCTCACATTAGCTCAGTTCCAATCATATCAACATATCTATATTAATCATTAGAGTAAGAATTACTAAATTCTCAAATCCCTGAGGACGATACTTAAATACTACATCGAAACTTGGTCCGCTTGCCAAGTGGAGAGATTGCGAAAATCCTCATCAAGTTTCTGGCGCCGTTGCCGGGGATTTAGGGTTTAGGGTTTAGGGTTTAGGGTTTAGGGTTTAGGGTTTAGGGTTTAGTGGCTCTTGGATGGATACTAAGGATACTCTTATGACCCTCTTCTAGGATTTCTCTCTTAAGCTCTGGCACACTAGGAATGCACGACCTATCCTTAAATTGGAAGACATTCGGATTCATTGGGGAAATTTGATTTTAGAAAATTTTTGAAATAAATCATGTTGAAAGGTCTAGTATTACATGTAAAATTTAGAAATAGGTGAATGTAGTTTCAGTATTAGGCTGCCCAGTGCGTGTCTACTGTAGTGTGACCTAATTTTTTTGAGCTTATATTCTCCTTGTAAGAGAAAAACTCTTCTTTATGAATACTAGATTAGCCTCTCTTGGTTTCCAAGTATATTGTTACTTTAGTATTATATATATTATATAATGATGTAATTGAGCCATTTCTATAATGATAACGATCCCAAATTGGTTTCTATTGATTTCTCTTACATTGGATAATTGAATTAGTTTTTGCAGGTTATTTATAATTGAATCAATTTTATTTAAAAATTAATCTGATTAAAAAAAATACAATCTACAGCGGTTTTACGTAAAAACTGACTTAGATGTATATATGCACATCTAAGTCGATTTTGAATCAAAATCGTCTTAGATGTGCACATATACATTTAAGTCGATTTTGAATAAAAACCGTCTTAGATGTCTCAAAAACTGACTTAGATGTATGTGTACATCTAAGATAGTTTTGTGAAAACCGACTTAAATGTATAAATACATCTAAGTCAGTTTTTAGGTAATCGACGTAGATATGTTCATTCATCTACATCGGCCTTATCTAAGTCGGTTTTAAAACCGATGTAGATGTGATAAAATAACTGACTTAGAATACAATCCTTCTAGTAGTGACCTTCTGGGAAGTTTCCTAGAAACTGTGTAAGTAAGGACAAAACATGCTAAAAAGTAAAGTATTGTGAAATAGAATCATTGATAAGAATAGCGACAAAATTTGAGATGTTTATAAAATTTAATAAAATTAAAAATAAATATTTAGTGACTGATCTAGAGGCAGTTAGTGCGTCGGGTGCTGTAAGGGTCGCAATTCTAATTTTGCGACGATTTGTGCAACGGTTCAAGTAACCGTCGCAAAATTCACTCGTGACAGACATTTCTGTGACAGTTAGTGAATCGTCGCAACGATGTCTTTGTAGCAATTCTAACCCTCACAATATAAGTCATATAATTGTCGCAAAATCGCCATTTTCTTGTAATAAGTAGTCTACTTGATGAATCACGGACCGCTCCTCCACAAGCTCCAATTCCATCATTTGACACGGCTCCATCCCCATTCAATTTAATGTGACCTGTAGGCGGAACCCTACAATGAGCATCTTGGCGACCACATAGAGGATCATGCAACATTGTAGAATCAATAATTTTCATCCTATAATATATTATATAAGCAATAGTACACGTAGAATAACTAAAATTCAAACATGTCTCTGAAAAACACTTAACCTCCTTCAAACCAATGTTGATGACCCTATGCTCCAAGTCCAAAATCCCCACTTTTGACTTATTGAAATATGAAACAGCAGAAATGGATGAAATTGGAGTCACAACCAAGTCATCCGTCACCATGTACATAGCTAGTAGTGACCTTCTGGGAAGTTTCCTAGAAACTGTGTAAGTAAGGACAAAACATGCTAAAAAGTAAAGTATTGTGAAATAGAATCATTGATAAGAATAGCGACAAAATTTGAGATGTTTATAAAATTTAATAAAATTAAAAATAAATATTTAGTGACTGATCTAGAGGCAGTTAGTGCGTCGGGTGCTGTAAGGGTCGCAATTCTAATTTTGCGACGATTTGTGCAACGGTTCAAGTAACCGTCGCAAAATTCACTCGTGACAGACATTTCTGTGACAGTTAGTGAATCGTCGCAACGATGTCTTTGTAGCAATTCTAACCCTCACAATATAAGTCATATAATTGTCGCAAAATCGCCATTTTCTTGTAATAAGTAGTCTACTTGATGAATCACGGACCGCTCCTCCACAAGCTCCAATTCCATCATTTGACACGGCTCCATCCCCATTCAATTTAATGTGACCTGTAGGCGGAACCCTACAATGAGCATCTTGGCGACCACATAGAGGATCATGCAACATTGTAGAATCAATAATTTTCATCCTATAATATATTATATAAGCAATAGTACACGTAGAATAACTAAAATTCAAACATGTCTCTGAAAAACACTTAACCTCCTTCAAACCAATGTTGATGACCCTATGCTCCAAGTCCAAAATCCCCACTTTTGACTTATTGAAATATGAAACAGCAGAAATGGATGAAATTGGAGTCACAACCAAGTCATCCGTCACCATGTACATAGCTAGTCCTTTGGAAAATCCACAAGAACTCGATTTTCCACCAGAGGACATAGGATTAACAACATCCACCGGCGCATTCGTTTCCCCATTGTGAAGAATGGGCTTTGGGAAAGTAACAAGAGCATGATTTTGTCTCTTATCTTTTTCATAGCAATTGCAATAATACACAAGCAAGGAAGACACACCAATTGGTAATATCTGGTCGTTAAGGTTGAATTGTGGCGCACACGGAGGATTCACTAGTTGTTTTTTGAGCCCTTGTGACCTTAAATATCTTTCTGAACACAATTCTGTAACACTATTATATAGTTTATCTAAGCAACTCAAAGATGAGAAACCCCCAAGAATGTGCAAAACCCCTCCCAAAGATAAGGTCAGAAAACTTAAAAGAAAATCAGTAAAATCTTCCTTTGCTTCAGCAAACAGAATCTTGCTATCTTATTATCTTACAAACACTTTTACAACCGTCTTCCTACTTTCATTTAAAGCCACTTCTCCAATCTCAAACTGAGATTGATCTTTTGTGTTAAAATAAAGAAATTGTTTCTTGGTTATTAAATCAGTTAAAGGGGTTTTTGAAAGCAATGAAAACTTTAGCAAATCAAGTACCTACACAAACAAAGTCGAACAAATGAATGAGTGAAAAGAACTAGTCAATAAGAAAGATGACATTGAGACAGAAACTGAAAATAAATAAATAAAATACCTCCTTAGCGCTGATTTCTACATTTTTTTCCTCAATAGGCTCCATGTCTTTGACTCCAATCTCATGAAGCAAATCCACGCTTAAGGTCGATTTTCTTGTTTGCAACAGCATTTCCTTGCACGTGGGTGTCCATAGATACTTTTTGTCCAAATGTGACACTTTCATACAACGAGCTTATGCTGCCAACTTTCACAGGTTCTAAATTGGACTCCTTAGCCACGAGTCTTACAATAGTCCCTAATGGCAATGTTAAGTAACTCAATAGCACGCATCCACAAAATCCTTCCCACCCTCAGCATACATAACTTTATTTGTTTCCTTGTCCACCAAAACTCTCGGTGTGAACTTGTGTGTCTGATTGAGTTGCATTTGCAGCCATTGCAGACCACTGATAGTCGCAAAATATCTATGCTAAAATCTATACTTACTTTAAGGCACAGTATGTGGTACCAGTAAATGAAGATGCTGATTGATATATTTGCTTCAATTCCTACATGACCTTATGGTGATCATTCTCTTTTGGCCTTTGGGTACGCTGAACGAGGCTGTAGTTATTAATTAGCAACTAGTCTTTACATAATTTCATGAGGACTGCTATATCTTCGAACCATTATCCGGTTCAGTTTTCAAATAATTAAAAAATTAATATCTTTTAATAAATTTGTTATAAAATAATTATTTAATTTAATATTTTATTATTTAAATTAATTTTTTAATGTTTTGGACAAAATTTCGGTCCAATCATTCGGAAGATCCAGCCTTTTTTCTTCTTTAAATACATACACTCTTTACCAACTTCACATCACAGTATTCACATACATCATCACATTACTGCGTAAAACAAAAACAATCCAATGAACTCGCGAAGCCACAACCTCAACCCCATGCACATGGACCAAACCCTCCACAACGTCACCTTCCACTCTGACACCATCCTCCACCGCAAGAACCTCCTGGTAGGCCTGGGAATCGAGTGGCGGCCCAACATCAGGCGCGACATGAACAACCCAGTTGCCACCCTCCAACTCTGCGTGGGGCGTCGCTGCCTCGTATTCCAAATCCTCCACGCGCCGTTCATTCCGCATTCCCTTGTTTCGTTCCTCGGTAACTCAAACAACACGTTTGTTGGAGTAGAGATCGAAGGTGACGTGCAGAAACTTCTAGAAGATTGTTCTTTCCACGTGGCCAACTTCCTTGAGCTTCCATCCCTCGCTGTGGAGAAGTTTGCTGACCTTGAGTTGAAGGGCGCTGGGCTTAAGACATTGGGCCTCCGAGTCTTGGGCCTGGAGGTTGACAAGCCGAAGAAGATTAGTTGGAGTAGGTGGGATAATCTGTGGCTCACTGCTGAACAGGTGGAGTATGCTGTTGTTGATGCATTTGTATCTTCTGAGATTGGACTCCGTTTGAGTTCAAATAATTAACGGGGTTTAGTTCTTTTACGACCTTTAAGTATTAGAGTTGTGAGCATCTGAATGAATGCTTTATGTTATGTTTCAGAATTTGAGGCCTTCATAATGTTATGCAGACAATTATCATCTTTTATTATGCATGTTTGAAATGTCCTTTGTGTTATTTTATATTTCTATTAGTAACTTAGAAAACAAGAAATGTCACCTCTAGGAATGATTGGATTCCATCCATTGGGTACATTCTATTTTTGGCTAGACAATAGTTTTAATTTTAGCATCTGGTATTGAAAATTGTGTAATTATTAAAATTTTTTACTAATAAATAAAGTGTATATAAAAGAAAGTATGTTCTTGATATTTCTTTTAACCATATATCTCATAGATTTTTTATGACATGAATTGATTTTTATGAAAGTAATAACTTCTTTTTCCATTTAAAGAATTTACTTTACAAATTTATCCTTACAAGTAAATAAAATAAATTTTTAATTCCGCACAATAATTTATGATGTTAATAAAATAACTTTCCATCTTCAAGGATGGATAACCAAACTGGGATTATTTTACAAATTATTAATCACATTGGGGTATTTTACTAATTTGAAGAATAGATGAAAAATTCTCTATCAGAGGAATGAAGCAAAATTCTAAAATAACCAATGTTGTATCTTTGAACATGAAGTGAAACAAATATGGTGTTAGTTCCTCTATAAATCAGTAGTAATATTTCAGTTAGTGTAATTTTCTCCTAAATTTATGGTTAGCTTTTATTTCCTTGTAATAATATATAGCTCTTCTATATATAAGGAGGCTGTAATATATACAATCATGATTTTTGACCACAGTGGGGCTGCTCTAAAAATATGTTACGCAAATGGGGCTATTTTGTAACTAATTACACTTTTAGGGTTATTTACAACGGTGTAGCTATGAACCATAGCGACACCGTTGTAAATAACCCTAAAAGTGTAATTAGTTACAAAATAGCCCCATAGCGACACCCATGACACGTGACAATTTTTTTTTTTTGTTTAGGGTGGGTTGGAATGAGCTACATCAGTGTCGCTATAGGCTGGGCCAGCACAGTTGATGGACTAACAAAAATAATGTAGCCCATAGCGACACTCTGTAAGAAAAAAAAACGAAAATAATAGAAATATAAAATAAAAATAATAAACTATTATTTATTATATATTTATAAAAATAAAATTAAATTTTTTAAAAATATAATTTTAAATTAAATTATATGTATTTTTTTAAGAGAGGCGCTATGGGCCATAGCGACATGGTGTCGATATGGGCCACAGCGCCACACAATATGTAATCCTGAGTCCTGAATATGATATGAAGTTGCAAATTTTCTATGATTTTTTGTTTTTATATTTTTAATTAAAAGTACACAAACTAAATAATTTCAATAAAATTATATTATATTATGTTAAATTTTAAAAAACTGTGAAAAAAATAAGTAAATAAAATAAAAACAAAAAAACTAGAAAAATAGGTGTCGCTATGGGCAACGACACCATTTATTAATTATTTTGTAAATATTAAATAAGTGTCGCTATGGGCACTAACACCATTTATTATTTATTTTTTAAATATTAACATTTCATTTAAAAAACTTAATTTATATATTTTTAATATAATATTTACAGAAATAAACAAATTTAATTAAATTTAAATAATCAGTATTTTGTTTAATATAATTAAATATATATTTTTAGGAATTTTTTAATAAATTTAATTAAAAATAATTAATTGTGTAGTTTAAAGAAGTTATTGTTTAAGTGTATTAATAATTTATTTATATGATAATTAAAAAAATCTGGGCCAAAAAAATGTAATTAAAAAAAAAGAAAAAAAAATAAAAACCATAGTGACACCATTTTTTTTTAATTTATAAATATTTACATTTTATTTTAAATTTCTGAAATTTGTTTATTTATATATTTGTTTAATATAAATTTTATTTTATATATTTATGGTTCAGTTAATTTATTTTATGTATTAAATAGTTAAAAAAGTAGCGCTATGGCCTATAGCGACACAATGTCGCTATAAGCTATAGTGACCTTATTTTGTCTTTTTTTTTTAGAAAAATTATTAACTTATATTATATAAATTAATTATAATATATATTTCATTAATTATTTTTTCACTGTTTCATATTGAATATATTTTCATGTTTTAAAGATTTTTTTGAATTAATTGAAAAAAAAAACATATAGAAAAATAAGTATAAAATTTATATTAGAAAATTAATAAAAAATGATGTCGCTATGGCCCATAGCACCTATTACAGTATATATACCCCCTCCCGACAGTCATGTTTTGTGCACATTTTGAATCATCATTTGAAATCTTTAAAACCCCTCCTACCAGTTACGTTTTGTTCTTTTGTGAGTAAAATTTTATTGTTCTTAAAATATAAATTGTAGTTATTTGTACTAAATTTTTTTTATTTTTTTGCAGATATTATGGATCAAACTATTGCTTATATTTATATTGGAAAGATGTATGAAGGTCCTGAAAGTGTAACATTTGATCGACCAAGAAAAGGAATGTATATTAAACGAGGTATAACTTTGGATATATTAAAGAGAAGGATTCACAACAAATTTGGTCTTAAGTCAAATCAAGTGATATTATTTGTAAGTTACAGATTTTTAGTTTCACAAGATGATAACAACATATATTCTTCATTGGAATTGAGTGACGATGATGATATACAATGCATGATAGAAGCATTTCAGAGCTAGAATGTGATGCTAATAATGGAATTATATGCTGAAATAGGTATGCAAGAATCTTCAACTTTTTCATTTGAAAATTTGTCAATTGAACTATCACCTTTGATCACAAGAGACGGAGACGAAGATGAAGATGACGAAGCAGGTGAAGACTATCATGTTTCATTATCATATGAAAGCATTGATGAATCCAATGAAGATGAAATTGATGATTGTGAACCATCTGATAATGAGGTGGAGTCAGATGTTATTGTTAATAGTCTAATGGTTGAACCAATTTCAATTTATCCATCTACTGAAGGTAATATCTGAAAATTAAAATTGTCAATAATTTTTTATTTGTTTAAAATAAATTGTTGAAATTGATTTTATTGAAATTACTAAAGTCATTATTATTAAAATAGGAGGAAGTCAATTTTGGGGTAATTTACCTCACTACACTAACATCAAATGGAATCATCCGGATTAAGAAGATATCATAGGGATGGATTTGCGTAATACTTGGTCAATTGGCCAAGATTTATATGTGGGGTTGGAGTTTGAGAATAAAGATGCGGTAAAAAATGCAGCAAAGCAAAATGCAATGAGAATGCATCAAAGTTTTTATGTGATTGAGTCGAAAAAGACCAAGTGGGTTGTTAGATGTCCAAATGCACATGATGGATGTGGATGGTACATGAGAGCCATTGAGTCAAAGAAATCTGATAAGTGGAAAGTGACTCAGTGGGGTAGACGTCATACGTGTTTGAACATGTCTTTGTCCCAAGATCATGTTAAGTTAGATTCTGAGTTAATTGCATAATTTATACAAGGTAAGTTCTGCAAAGTTTATAGTTTATATTAATAATAATTTATCTTACTGATTACTAATATTTAATATGTATGAATGTGTAACCAATATCCATCAATCAATATTATCCTTATCCAAGAGAGAATAACATCTCAAACTGGGTTTAAAATATCTTATAGAAAGGCTTGGATGGCGAAACAAAAAGCAATTGTTAACATTTTTGGAGATTGGGAAGAATCGTATGCTTATTTACCTCGATGGCTCCAATACATGAAAGAAAATGCTCCAGGATCATTTTATGATCTGTGTCATGATGAGTTTTTTTGTTGGTAATCGTTGTGATCGTGGTTACCGTCAATTTCACATATTATTCTGGACATTCAAGCCGTGTTGTGATGCCTTTAATTTTTGTAAACCCTTGATACAAGTTGATGGCACTCATCTATATGGCAAGTACCGAGGTACATTGCTCATTGCTACAACACAAGATGGTAATAACAACATTCTTCCTCTTCCATTTGCTGTGATTGAAGGAGAAACATTACTTGCGTGGTCGTGGTTATTGTCTCATTTGCGGTTACATGTTACAAATAAAGAAGGAATATGTTTAGTATCTGATCGACATCGTAGCATTAAATCGGCCATTATTGACAATGAGGCAATTGGTTAGAGACCGCCAAATGCATATCACAAGTACTGCATTAGGCACATTGCAAGTACTTTTAATACTCGATTCAAGGATGTGAAACTAAAATAAAAGCTTGTGAAGTTAGGTATGTATTGTTATTTCAAATTTTTGAATCATTTCAAAATTTTTATTGTCCATTATTTATAATTTGTATGCAGGGTATACACCATGTAAACACATTTTTGATCGCAATTTACAAAAGTTTTGTGAATCTAGCCCTGATGTTGAAAGGTGGATAGGAGGGATATCAAAAGACAAATGGAGCATGACATATGATACTGATGGTCAAAGATATGGTCACAGGACAACAAATTTTTCTGAATGTGTTAACAAGGTTTTAAAGGATTGCCTATCATTGCATTAGTTCGGTCGACTTATACCAGGTGCACTGAGTATTTTAGTAATCGTGGTAGTCGTGCTTTAGCCGATGTTTCATCTGGAAAAGTTTTCGTTTCAAAGTTGGTTGAAGCTTTGCAAAAAAATCAAGAAGAGGCTTGTTCCCACCAAGTTTGTAGATATGACATTCAATCTTCAAAATTTGAGGTTGAAGAGGCATTTGATCCAATAATACAAACACGAGGGAAGAAATGGGTAGTAAATTTAAAGGAACGATACTGTCAATCGGAAAGTTTACAGCATTTCATTATCCATGTTCTCATGTTATAGCTGCATGTGGTGTTGTTAGCATTGAGTACTACTAGTTTATAGATCCTGTTTATACCAGTGATTATGTTTTAAAAGCGTACTCTGATTCGGATGCTGGGAGGTGAAGGAGACTTGGGTGAAATGGGGACTAGCA